TTATTTTATGTATATATTTATATTTATTTCAAATACTGCACAAAAATTTTCAGTGTAATCATCTTAAGTATTATTATGTTTTGAAAGCAGCAAGGTCGTTTGTACACAGAGTGTTCATAAATATGCATGTAATTTTAAAATGCATCCCTCATAGTAGTCGGTCACACAAACTCTAGAATGATTTTTTTTCCCATAATACACATAAAATTGGTTCCAGCCACCCATTGCACACGCACGGTATAGAAACAATAGACGAGTGAGTATTGAAAGCTATTATAGGTAACCGAAACCATAGATATTTCGTTTTCATCATCAGTTATTCGCGAAGAAAGCCGTACAGAAATTATGGTAGAAATGAATAGATACGGCATCCTGGATAAAATAAAATGTTTCTAGAATTTCGTCCTTTATAACACTTTAAAATCATTGATATCGATCCATATATCAGTATATACATGCATACAATATAGCGCGACAAAGTATTTAAAAAATAGTTTTCTTTATCTTTTATTCGCTAGTCTATATATGCCCTTTAATATTGTCTAAATTGGGACTTGATTTCTGAAGAAATACATACATAAAAATCACTATTAAAATTAAAAATTGATATTGAGTTCATTGTCAAATCAAATATTTCGAAAACTGAAGGTCAAATCGGAAAATCAATAAGAATAAAAAGTATTTATTCGTTTTCAAGAAAAACAAAATCTGTCATAAAAGATTAGAATTTCAATTTAAAAAAATTAAATTTATTGTTGCACAACTAAGTAATTATGATTTAATTTCAAGACAACGTTAATACCTAATGTACCCTTTCGAACTCTATAATTTTCGTCTACAACATTTTTTTCGACAAAATTTAGTTTTTGGGATATTTCGTTGTGTAAATTAAAATGAAACACTCTGAATAGTAAACTTATTAAGCGATTTTCATATACGAAATTTTATGATAGCGAATTGATAAAATACAATTTTTGGGGTCAATAATAGCAACTTGTTGCAAATTGTATTTAAAATTTTACAATCATACATATACAAAATAATTTAGCAACATGCGGATAAATTTATTGATCATTCTTTCGTAGGAATCAGTAAACGGTAAACAAAAGCAAACACTTTTTTTCTACATACAATAATGTACTCAATTAATGGTATTTCATTTTTAGTAGACATACTTATAGTAATTACATCACAGGGTTGAAATACTGAATAAATAAAATTACTTAATATCGAATGTAAATTAAAACTTATATAAAATTTGAATGTATCGCAAAAAGAGCAAGAAATAGTTTATCTTTGAGTAATGTAATGGAAGGAAAACTTTAATGCTTAAATTCTTTTGAGAGAACGTTATGTATTTTTATACAAACACAGCAAAATTCGTTGAAACGAGTTTAACGACGAGTTTAATCATCAAATAAAATATTTCTTGCGCGGAGTACGAGTATTGACAACTATTACATTACAAAATCATTCTATTTTATAGAAGAAAAACTATTTATACCATATAGTATGTTTTAACATATCTGATAATACATCATAACGTATCAATTATATCCCAGATATTAAACAACATTTGTAAGAAAATTAATTTTTGAACCTTTATTTCATGATACGATATGTCATTATATCGATAAATGTTATTTGATGCCGCGATTATTTAGTAGCTTAGAATGATCAAACGTTTTTAAAATTTAATACGAAACTATATTACATATTCTTGCATCAATCGCTTACATAGATCTAACAAATATATTAAACAATTGTTGTATATAGGCGCTTTATATTTACACAAATTTATAGATTATAGTTATCCAAGAACAAAAATATAACAAAGAATTGGAAATAATGGTAGTGGTGGTGGAAGATGAGATTTGCAATATTCTTGAAACCTGCAGTAACATCTTTATGAATTGTTGTATATCGTTTTCAGTAGTTTTATCCATCATAATGTTTGAAGTTTCTTCCATAGTGTTTTCCATAGCCTTTAATAAAATGTTCGCAGTATTTTGTTCAGGTTGTATATCTTCGGGTTGCCAATTACCGCATAAAGGAAAATTACGTGGAACTGGTAACATATCTTCATGTTCACCAACTTTAAAGATTAATGACATTCCGACTTCCGCATGAAATTCAATGTGACAATGGAACAGCCAATAGCCTGGAAGAATATTAATATTGCACAAATTCCAAATGAATTAAGAACACTGTGTCAGCTGTCAGAAATACCAGGATTATCAGCGTAAAATCGCATAATAGTATAACCACCGTCAGGTACCGTTACGGTGTCTTTTAACGGAGCTCGGTCAAGATTTCGTTGTATTGCTCCTTTTTTATCTAATGCTTTCACTTGATCAACAGTGATATTTTTGCCCACTCTTTTCATTGAAATTACACGAAATTGATAGCCATGGAGATGAAATGGGTGATTTGCATCATAAGCAAAGCCTAAGATATAAGTAATAATTAAAAATCTAATAACGTTATTTCATTGATTCAACATTGGTTAAACACATGCAGATAAATTAAAATAGTTTAAAATAGGTATCGAACCTTCATCCACCAATATTATTTCTACCACACTGCCAAGTTTTACCCGGAGCACGTGAGTGCAAGCACAGTAATCTTCTACGCAACCTTGAACAGTACTCGCATTACAAAATTGATTCGAATCAATGAAATCCCTTTGAGATAACAAAGGAATAGATGGTAACTTCATTGAGATGTGATTTAATTGAGGAGTGAGTACTCTCTTCGTATTCTTCACTGAAAATTTCATCGATTCGCTTAAAAGAAGCAAAAAGCAGAAAATTCGTGAAATATCATCAATATCTTCATTTAATATAAGCAATATTACCTTGATTAAATCCATAAAGTTTTCTACGATGGAAATGAGGATTATCTTTCTTGTAGAAGTCATAAGATACATAAAATTGATAATCAGGATGTGCAGTATTCGATTTATCATTTTTATCCATGGCCTTTAATAAAGGAATGCTGATACTTTTATTAGTTTCTGTACCCTCGTTTAAAGCATTTATTCGCTAAGGAAAGGTATGTATTATACGTACGTTGCATATCATTACCATTCATATTCAATAAATTGGTAAATTCTAACATTGCAATACAAACATACCCGACCTATGAAATTATTGAATTCGCGTTCGTACGTGACTGTACCGTTTGGATCTTCTTCCATTGCACCTTCATATCGTAATATAGCAATTTGATAAGCTTTGGTGAATCTTTCATCACAATCCATTAATCCACGAAATCGTATCCAGAAGTTATCCACGTTTTGATTTGTTTCAACGATAAAATCGAATCTTTCGCCAGCATAGCTTACTAAAGATTCCGCTAGAATTATAAACTCTGTGTGATGTACTTTTAATACATATATTTTTATATCTTTTAGTACTTTTTCTGTATACTTGCTTTATGCATTATGCAGTACCTTTGACAGGTTCAATATCACGTCCATCTGTGCTAATTATATTCATAGTATGATTATCAATCGATAATTCGATTGGGCAATTGAGAAACTCGGCGTTAATAAGCCTAAACCTGTATCTTTTATTCTGTAAATGTATAAAAAAATAGAATTGCATAAATTTGTTTAGCTGAAAATCTTCATTGGGAATAATATGCTTTTCTATTTGTTTAACGTTACCCGTTTAACAGTAAATGTTGCGATCGGCATAATAGCAGATACGTTTTTTCCGTTTTGATCAACCATAAAACGACCCAAACCATTAATCAATAGATTAGGTGGTTTATTATTCCCATCTGCATGATGATGGCTTAAAAATTTATCGATTCCTAATTCGTGAGTCCAATCCGAAATCAAGATAGTGTGTTCGTCAATATCATATAAATGATTATGCCCATTGACTTTCGGAGGTGCACGTACAATTAATGCACCAAACACTCCATCACCTCGTTGAAAACCTAAAATTCCAGCTTGCCATTAAAAACTATAACAGATTCAACAAACTTGCATTACGCATGAAACGAAAAACAGTATTTGTAATACGTGAATTGAACCTAAATTTTCGAGACATCTGTATCCCATACCTAAATGAGAATGCCAAAAATGTGTGCCTACTTCCGTGGCAACGTAATCGTAACGAAAAGTTGAACCCGGTAAAATCGGACACTGAGATACGTAAGGAACACCATCCATGTACGGTGTTTTTATATGATGCTGACCATGCCAGTGTATCGTTGTACTCTCGGAATGTAATAAATTTATTACATCGACTATTATCTTATCACCTTGGCACACCTACGAACAGATATTCATTGTTAAATGAATAGAGGCTAGTTTAATGAACAAACATGGTTATTAATTAAAGTATTATAATTATTTAATTTTGTTCGAATGTTTGTCGATATCCTTAAAGATTCTGTCGCAGAAGAATTTTTCATATCGTTTCGAAGACTTATGGAAAAATCATTTAAGTCAAACTCGTGAAATGATTACAAGATCTTGATACACGGTCATTATACATTGCATGGGAGTATATACTTCTGCATGTATATATACAGAAGAATAAAAGCAATACGTGAAAGCATATATACTCTTGCAATGATAAACACTATTACAATATGCACTTGTTACCTATGTAATATTGTAGCATTTGGTAAATACAACCTTAAGGGAAAGAAGATACAGAAAAGTAAGTAAAAAGAAAAGAAAGTAGAAAGAAAAGAAAGAGGGCAGTGAAGAGACAAAAGAATGAAAAACCTTTGTATTGGTATACGGATGAAAGAAATGGATGTACCTAAATGTATATTACGAACATTATTTATTAAGCGTTTTCGAATATTGGTTTTTAAGATATCAAATACGATAACGTATCAAGCAAAAATTAGGAAAAAGTTATTTGTCTTTTTCATTCTCATTTTTAATCAGTATCGATTTATAATTTTCTACATAAAAATAAACTTTCATCGACACCAATAATGCAATTACTTTTGATTAACAAACGTTTTTCTTGTGCTATTCACTGATGTATCGACATATGTACTAGTATATAGTGTACCTCGATAGGCGGTCCAGGCATTTGCCGATTAACTACCAAAATTGATCTTTCGATACCATCTGCTGGAATACAATGTTCACGAAAGCAATCCGTGATGTTAAATGGGCAGTCATAGCACGCTTTGCTCATTGTATGATAAGTCTCTAACCTAAAGACATAACGACATTTCATCGGTGATGCTTCATCTTTGCAATTACGTCGACACGGATGTTTTATCCAGTTCAATTCATCGGCTGTCTCTGAGTCAATGTCCTCAAATTCAAAATCATTACGCGTCGTTATGATAATTTCTAAAGAGATAAAGGATTATCCGATAACAAAGAACATTTACATATATTTTTATACGTTATTACATGTTAATTGATCGATTTTGCGAAAATCTAAAAACAGGGTGAAAAATTGGTAAGCTTTCGTCTTTGTTCACCGATGCGATATTTTCTTTCATTATTTTCACTCACCCGACAGATAATTGCGAGGTAGTAAAGATAATTCTATCAAAAACAAGATCATCTTCCAACACGTCATTTTCGATCTGCAAAGTTACAAAGTTGTGAAATATTACACGCAATCAATGACCGCACGATTCACACAATATAACTGATATCGTTTCACTTTATCGGCAAAGAAAATTATTCAAACATCGTGACAGACAGTGCATCGAGCAACGAGACTGGTGACGAGCAAATAAAACAATAAATGCGACATTTCACTTTATCTAATCTGGATATCATAAAAATCTGATGCATCGTAAATAAGAAATTAAAATTTGGACTGGCGATATAGTAATGAAGGAATCATATATTGCATAGATATTTGTGTAAGATAGTTACAATCTTTTGATATTTTAAATAGAATTTAATTTAAAAAAATGACAGCTATGTATTAATAATTTTTGATAATTTACACAATAATATTTTGTATAGACACAAGCTTTTTCTGCCAATACAAGATTTTAATTATATTTTGTACATTTCGTTTCATAAAACTTACATTAAATGGTAAGTTGGCTTCACGCACAAAACGCGATTACTTCAAAAATTTGACTTCACGATTGTACAATAATCGTTAACAAATCTTCCTTTAATTTCCCATTACAACGACATGATGTTGCCATTTAAAAAACAAATGTTCTAAAAAATTTGGTTTTTGCTATTTTACTACTTTTGACTTTTTGACTACTATCTTATTCGCGTCAACACGTTCTAATATGCCGCCGTGTAAAATCGACGATGTTTTATGAAAGACTGAACCAAAGTAGCGATGTTCGTTTCACTATACAAGGATTTCTTGGAGGTCACATGTATCCCACAAATTGCCAACGGTCCTCTTACTTTATCCGATTAATGTATCTATAGGACGACGAGAATAACGTCAACGGTTTCGTGTTATTTCCTCTTGTAATTATTCTTCCCCTCTGGGAAAAAGTATTGCGGGAATTTCCATTGGCACAAGTACGTGGTAACGTAATGTTTGGTATTAATAATATAATACATTGTTAAGTGAATTTTCATATGGATATACATAAGTACTTATTGTGAAGTTTGAATACAAACTTCCTTAAATATCAAAATATAATACCGACAATTTTCAATGTCTTTTGTATAAAATTACACATAATATAATTGGTACCCATGTAAATACGCAAGTAAGTATGTATTTATGTATGTATGTATCTATATATGTACAATATGTGTGAATAAAATGTAAATACTCTGAAAAATGTGCATATTTGTTTCTGTTCACATATTTCGACAACTGCTTAATTCAGGAAATTATTGTGATCGAAATTAAAATTCTTTTGTAAAGAAATATATACATAATACTTTGTATATATTTCGAAACTTTTAAAGGCATGCATTGTTTATGTATATGCATATATAAGTGAAAAAAATATTTGATAAATTCTAGAATATAAAGTGATTTCTTTATTTATTACGAAATCATCCTTGATACATAAAAAACAAGATAACTAAAATTTCATTTCATGGTTAGGATAAAATATTGCTTTTGTACATATATAATTAATCGTTCGTATTATATTTCTTTGTAACTTTTAATACACGAATTGTTACCACATAAAACGTAAAAGTATTAATCACCAAACGATCATCATTTGCATGTAACTAACATATCCATATAAAATCTATGAAACAAATATGGATTTTTTCGAAGAATTTAGCAATCGAACGTCAATACGTGTCACGGTTTTCCCGTATAAATCACACGTGACTCATAATCATTAATCTCTTAATTTCCATCGTGCATAAATACTAGTAGAAATAATAACGATAATCTTGATGATTAGAATGACAATGATAATATTCAATGTGTATTAATAAACATACATATATATTATATACACTTGTATATTCTTATGATTTAGAATTAGAATTAAAATAAACACATGACAATACAATGATATGACAAACAATACATGATATTTGTAATTCCAATCGAAAATATTCCAATACGTTACACAATTATTTATCAGATTACACATAATGAGCTCGAAAGAACATCATGTTACAAAAATGGAATGTTTTACAATGATTTGGTTGGAATTTGCGCTATAAGGAAAGCTTGACAAAACAAATTATTTATCTTAATCATAAAACAAAAGTAAAAGTTAACAACAAACCCTGTTTGACATAAATTTCAAGAAAATTAGATCATACTGTGGGGATGAATACGGTGAAGATTTATATTCATCATTATACGTTGAGCCCCGCGCCGATATTGCTGTCATTTCCGTTTATCCCGTAGCGAGCTTAACGGCGAGAGCTTGGGCGATATTTGAGATGGCTACAATAAACAAAAAGATTCCTATATGTATTGAAAGAAGAATTGTTGTTCACCAATTACAAGAAAAAAGGAGACGTTGACAAAATCCGAAGAAATTGTTCGGGATGTTACAACAAAAATTCAACGCTATACGGACGTAAGAGAGCCAGAAATTTGACTAAAAAAGTCATTACATTTTATAATACATGCAAAAACAGACCATATTTTTGTTTAGAATGTTTCTACAGATTTCATTGAAGTTATCACATTTATTTTTTAATTTTGATACTGTTGGTCCCAGTGATCGACGCTGTCCAAACGATAAGTCCATTGTCGGTTCTTAGGGACCGACACGGAGCTTAACGTGTTATGTTATTGTTGATAAAATAAAAAAATTAATATGAACTAATTCTATTATCCTACTATTAGTTCTACTAATTCTAATGTTTTCTATTAAGTTTAATCTTTATTGATTGAAATTGCGAAACTTTTGAATTATACGAAAAATTGAGAAAATAATGAAATCGAGTAATAACATGCAAAAGTTAAAGATGAAGAAAAAGAAAATTAAGTTTGCGTAAGAACGTTTACCTTTACCTACAAGGACATGTCAGAACATTTTCTTTGATCACTATTAATGCCTTCATTTTGTTATTCTATCATAAAGAATAGAAACTATTATCCGAATTACATTTGTAGTTTAAAATATCGTGAGATCGAAAATTAAATTAGAAAATATTATAATATTCACGTGCTGTGCAGAAATGTGTATATGTATGTTAGTGTGCGAAATTAGTTAAGAGATATTCAACATAACCTACTCACGTATATCAGTACAGGATTTCATCTTTATGATAAGTATTAATTTAAGAGATTTTTTTCAAGATGGTTGAGTTTATACAAGGAACATGTTTGTTAATGTGTCCAGATAAAGAACGTTGGATGTAAGTTATATGTGCACTAATATGAAAAATTATTATATTCCTTTTTTTTACATTATTTATAATTATACGAAAGATAGAATCATTAGTAATTTAATGACCAGTGTTGCATACTTTTTTTTTTTCTTTTTTGTTGTCAGAAAGTGGTTTTTTGTATTAAATCATGTTTCAATGAAAAATTGTCGAAACCTACAGTTTTCTGCAGTATCATCACAATCTATTAAACTATCATTTTGTCCTATTTATTATTTGCAAAAAGTTTTAGTTACGGGATCATACATAATTATCTTGCTTTTACTACTTATAAATCCATTACATTATAATAGGAATAATAAAATTAATTTATAATATCATTTGTAGCAGAGAGAAAGAGGGTTTACTACATAAGTTCGAGATCGACGAAACTACAAAAGAAACAAAATTACCAAAAGCAGATCCAACAAAAACCATAAAATGCTTTAGCCGTCCTGCGGCAGGTTTAGTTATGACTGATATAAAACAATTACGTCCAGCACCAGTGTTATTGTTGACTATAAAATATTTGTTTACTAAGTATGTATAAAATTTAAATTAACTTAAATGAATGAATTTCATGAATTTTAACAAACATTAATTCTAGAATAGCTACGCGAACGGATGTGGATTGGATTATAGTATATGATTTTATCTTTGATCGTTTAAGATCCATTAGACAAGATGCAGAAATCCAGAGGATTGACATTTCTACGAACATTCAATTGTTGAAACCCATAGTTCGGTTTCTTGTTTATTCAACGCAAAGGTGCAATATTATTTTTCTTTAAGCAATATTGAATAATGTACACAATAAAACAAGAGAATGGTTATGGAAAAATAATTCTAGATTATGCGAGCGAAGTATCTCCGAATTTAATAGAAAAATCAATGGTCAACATCTCGACGAATGCATAACGCGTTTGTTAATTTTATACGAAGAATCTGAAGATAAAATGAATTCTTCACAATTTATTAAAGATATGGAGAAATTAATAATGAATAACGATCGTTCACAAATGGAGGCGTTGTATATTCTGTTACACATGGGTAATACAGATGTCTTAATGAGGGCGTTACGGCTTCCTCTCAATTTACGGTACAAATAAATCGAAATAAATATTATAGCGATTGAGATATTTAGTAGCATGTATTCAACATCATATTTTTTAGAAGATCTCTTGATATGCAATTATCGATAAAAATATCATTTGCTTGGTACTTAAAGAATTATGTACGCGTTTGTACCTTAATTCCACAACTTGCTCCAATACTTATTTGCGCAGCTATGACTAACATACAAAAGTTAAGAAGGTATGCATATACGTTCGAATTTCGATCAGAGGGATAATAATAAATTGTTACAGAATGGCGCTAAAAATTATGAGTTCGGGATACAATAGCAAAGTTTTCACATTTCCAGGACTTAAATTGCAACAAGTTTTACTATATAAAGAGATAAACAAAGTTTGTGCAGATTGCGAGCTGTTTGGTATTGCATTCACCAATCAAAATATTTTATTTCAAAAAGCAAATTTCAAAGACGAAATTGAACAAGTAAGTAAAAGTTTAATTCAATTGTCCGAAGGAATAAAGGAAATAAGCCATTACTCTTTGTCATTTCAGGCACATCCAGAAATGTATTATACACGTCAATTTTTACATAGCCTCTTACCATATATTTTACTTGAATCTATGTAATGTTTATAATAAAATCTTTATAGCCTATTGCTTTATTTTTTTTTTTTTTTGATAATAAATTCATCATTCGATACATGCGCATTAAATCCTGTATAAATAATTTTATGAAAAATCAATGTTCATTGGGAATCACTAGATGAACTACTCGAAGAGTCTGTAGACATAACTTCAACATCTTCTGTTTCCTGCTTATGGGTGTTCATAGCAACACTTCCCTGTCCACTCACAGACATGTGAATTTCACCTGATGGATGCCATGCAAATTGATTAGTTTGAGATACAGGTGGTTCTAAAACACACATTGATCTGTCTAAAGCAAAAAATATTTTAAAGTATTTGTAATATGCACATATAATGATTGCGGAAACTCACCACCTACTGGATGTCCAGCTCTGTGCAAGTCTGACGATATTCCAGGATGTGTACCTGGTATTTGTTCATTTAAAGGAAGATCGCTTAAACGTCCAAGGAATCCCAATCTCATTTCAATATCTGCAATAGTCAAGGCAATTTGCATGGTTTGCAAATAAATGCAAGCGTAAATAATAATTTACCAGTAGGATAAGGTCTCCTGGGATCTCCTTGTTGCCAGGTAAGAGGAGCGCATATAGCATTCGATGCGCTTATTCTGTGTGCATATTTAATTAATTCCTCAGATGGTACAGGTCTTCTATTGGCACGGGCAATGGATTGTAATTTTTGTTTAGCTTGATAAATTGCAGTAGCTAAAATCTGTTCTGCTTCCTTCAATTGTCGCTGTAATTGTTGTATATCTTGGTCTTGTCTTTCAACTTCAGCTTTTAAACCTTCCATCTTGAGGTTAATTTTTGCTTGTTCTGCTGCCCGTTTCAATATTGCTTTTAATTCATTGTCTTTAACTATTAACAATTCCGTTAATTGAGCGTGTTCTTCATTTGAGAGTTTTAATGGCTTTTGGGCTATTGTATTTTCTATCATTTCTCTACGACAGCAAAATCAGCAGTGAAAGAACGAAACTTAAAAAAAAAACTATTAAAGGCAACATTAGATATTAATAATTCGTTTGAACCCTACTTCGCTATTAATTCGATGTCATCGATGATAGACAACAGAACCTCTCTTGTACTTTTGCAGGATGATGCCATATCACACTAGTGGGTAGGCAGCTTGTGCGAACATTTCGGGGAAAGATCGCCAGGTGTCGCTACCAGTGGCTTGTAGCGTTATGTGCACCCGATCATTCGATTTTTTGAATCGAAAATATTGAAAATCAAATTCGTTTTTTCAAGTAGATATCTAGCCAAATTCAACGAGCTAACATACCATGAATGAGCTCGAGTAAATGTTGCATTACTAGAAATTTATCTAAGAACTTATCTACGAACTGTCGACAATTCACAACAAAGAAAAAATGTGAACACGCCAAATTCTTAATTCCTGATCGCGATATATCGAATTTCACGAAAAAATTCATGTCAAGAAAGAAGCATGTATTAATAAGAAAAGAATGGTAACGAACGAAATGAACTGAAAATGTCGAAATTTCTAAGATTGTTAAATATTAAATATAAATAAATAAATAAATGGATAAATTATTAAAAGTTAAAACTAAATAATTAAATTAAATAAATAATTGAAAGGGAAAAATAAATAAACAAGTTATTAAAAATTAAAAATATTATTCTCTTAAAAGCCCGACGAACATTTTTCTTGTAACTTTCATTTTATTTTTTATCCTTTCTTCATTGCTCTGAAAATATAAATCTTTATAACTTGTAATTCTTTTGTCACTTTCTCAACATTTTTTATTCGTAAGTCCAGGTGGTTCAACTTAATTTTGGATCAGTTCTTCATCTTCCTCTGCTTCTTCACCAAATGATAAAAGATTGAAATCTCTGTAACAAAATGTTACATTGCAAATAATAATACTGCTGCTTTTTTCGTTTTTCAACTGTCCTTAACTTTTTCACTTTCCTGTACTATTATTCTTGGTAGAATATCAGAAAATGGGTTGTACAATATTATAGTTTTTATGAAACTTGGAGGATAAAGTGGTCTATCAGTCTACAAAAAAGAGGAAATATTATATTTATAGGAATTCTTGTCATATATTCTTGCAAACATTAAATTTACCTCATCTACAAGTGCTTCTTGGAGTTTAAGCATACTATATATAGATTGTCCAGTAACTCTACCAAAGATTGCATGCTTATTTTACAGGTCTAGCGTAGAACTAACAGTAAAAAAGAATTTGGGAATCTTGTATGAAATTTGTCCTAAAACATGTATATCCAATAATTATTTTTGAATAAAAAAGGGAATCGTTTAATTTATAAATATAGTCTGACTTTAAACGGTTCTCCATATATTTTACCACCTTGCCCTGTACCTGTTGAATCACCACCTTGCGTTATAAATCCTTTGAGAATTTTATGAGAGATAGCGTCACCCTAATAACCTTCCATACATAACGGTATGAAATTTCTACATGCCTTTGGAGTTTCTTTCGCAGATAATTGT